GCTTCAGTCTAGGTTACGCATTTCCCCCACTGCAGTTAATCCTGAATGTGCTTCGGAAGCTCAGGGGCGAACGGATGACGTTAATTCTCATAGCGCCATGTTGGCAGAAGCGGCCGTGGTTCACAACCCTCCCGGAGCTGTGTGTGGAGGGGCCTCTGCTTCTGCCCGCGGCGGATTTATTGATGCAGGGCACGGTGAAACACCCGCAGGTGCAAGCTTTAAATTTAGCTGCATGGCTACTGAGAGGGAGGTGTTGAGTAACAAGGGGTTATCCGCACGGGTGGTGGCTACACTGCTGCACAGTAGAAAGCCGGTAACATCGCCGATCTACCTAAAAGTGTGGAAAGTGTTTTCCAGCTGGTACAGCAGTCGGAATAGGCCTGCGGTGGCCACCGTACCATTGGTGTTGGATTTCCTGCAGGGCGGCCTGGAAAAGGGGCTTTCCTGTAGTACCCTGAAAGTGCAGGTTTCTGCGCTGTCTAATTTCGTGGACATTAGATTGGCGGAGGAGCCTCTCATCAAAATATTTATGCGAGCGGTAGTCAGAATGAAACCCCCGAAGAGTAAGGTGGTGCCAAACTGGGATCTCTCGGTGGTGCTACAAGGGTTTCTCGAGCAGCCTTTCGAGCCCCTGGGGGGGTGTTCCATTCAGCATCTGACGATAAAGACGGCCCTCTTGGTAGCGTTGGTTTCCGCACGTAGGGTGAGCGAGATTCAGGCATTTTCCATTGCAGACCCGTACTGCACCATCCTGGCAGATCGGATTATTTTACGACCAGACCCGGCGTTCTTGCCGAAGGTGGTTTCCACAGGACGCAGGAGGTGGTCATTCCTTCGTTTGCCACTAACCCGGCCTCTGCTAGAGAACGGGAGTGGCAGGGGATTGATGTTCGAAGGTGCGTTTTGGAGTACCTCCGAGTCACAAAACCTTGGCGGCAGTCGTCCCGCCTCTTTGTTACGTTTGGGGGCCCCACTAGGGGGAACAGGGCCACTAAAAGCACGTTAGCCAGGTGGATTAAAATGGCCATAACTGACACTTACAAGGCACAGGGCCTGGTGTTACCGGGTCCGCTCACGGCACACTCGACTCGAGCATGGGCTATCTCCCCCCAGCCCCGCCCCTCCCTCTCCATGTGAAGAAGCAGCGCTCTCTATCATGTACAATGGAATCGCCTGCTCAAATCTGGCCCCTCTCCCAGCGCTATACTTACCTTTCGGCACACAGGCCTCCCCCCTCTGTGAGTCCGGGTGTAGTATCTATACCTCACACTGCCCTATGCCCCCGCTTCAGTCCTTGGACAAGTAGATGGGGCCCCCGCTTTAGTCCTTGGACAAGTAGATGGGGCCCCCGCTTTAGTCCTTGGACCAGTAGATGGGGCCCCCGCTTAATCCTTTGGACAAGTAGATGGGGCCCCCGCTTTAGTCCTTGGACCAGTAGATGGGGCCCCCGCTTAATCCTTTGGACAAGTAGATGGGGCCCCCGCTTTAGTCCTTGGACCAGTAGATGGGGCCCCCGCTTAATCCTTTGGACAAGTAGATGGGGCCCCCGCTTTAGTCCTTGGACAAGTAGATTAGTTGGGCCCACACCCCTGATAAACTATCTGTTAGCCCCGCCCCCAACACGCTTATTGTTGTCATGTCGGAGTCCACAGAGGGGGAGGACGCTGTGCTGTAAGTGATGGCTCCATTGGGGGGAGGGGGTGCCATGGAAAGGTGGGTAGAGGCAGGTCAGTGGTTCTATCCCAATGACTGAGCAGCAGTACAGGGAGGGGGTCTTTGCTGTGGGGTACGGGGAGGAGGAGGTCTTTGCTGTGGGGTATGGGGAGGGGGTCTTTGCTGTGGGG